AGAACCGGCACCAATAACCTGGGTTATCAGTATCACTAAGTATTTAAATTTGGCACATATGAGATGCTGTCAACCGGCATCGGGTTCTGTACGCTATTTGTATATATGAAAACATGATGTATGAATTGTATAACAATCCAACTTATTTACCCAAAATTGCGTGAGAAAACCCCTATTTTACATTATTGTGTACTTAATTAACATGGAGATTGACCAATATTATTGGTCACTATTGATTTTGACGTATATATTATATTATTAAAACAGCTTTGAAAGGAGGCACCACGTTCGCTGTGGGGGCTAAAAATTCCCATATTAATCGGAGAAAAAGAAAAAGGAGAGTCCAAGTAGAAATACAATTTAAAAATAGCTGAAATTTGGAATTAAAAATAAGCAATATAGAAAGAATAGTCCATATAAGAAAACAATACTAGATTAATTAAAATTCAGAATAAAAATAAAATGAAATCCAAAATTAGAAAACGAAAAGGAAAGTCCAAGTAGGAATACAATTTAAAAATAACTGAAGTTCGGAATTAAAAATAAAAAATATTGAGAGAAGAATCTATATAAGAACCCAATACGAGATTAATTAATATTTGGAATAAAAAAATAAAATACGAAATTAGCAAAAAGAAAAGAAAACTTCAAGTAGGAATACAATTTAAAATTAACTGAAATTCGGAATTAAAAATAAGCAATATTGAAAGAAAAATTCATATAAGAACCTAATACGAGATTAATTAAAATTTAGAATAAAAAATAAATAATTAAATAAACTAAAAGAGAGTTCAAGTAGAATACAATTTTGAAACAACTGAATTTCAATAATAAAAATAGAAAAATTAAAAGAACACTATACGGTATTAATTAAATTTGGAAAAACAATTCTGAAATTAGAAAAAGAAATATTTCAATTAGGAATAAAATTTATAAATAACTAAAATTGGTGATAAAAAATAAAGACTATTGAAAGAAAAGATCATCTAAAACACATGATGATATAAATTAAGTAACAGGCCTATAAAGGAGTAGAGTGGTGGTGGTTGATACGACATATAAAAATTGTTAATAAAACACTAAATAAAATCCTAATGACGATTAAAAGGAGGGACGACAGCCAAACCGTGAAGCAAAAGGGCAAGGCGGTTGCCGAGACTTCTAGAAAGTAAAAAAATAAACCCCATTGATAACCATATTTGATTTTTAAAATCTCAATGACAAAAAAAAGGAGAAGCAGCGGGCGGGGTGTATAGGAGTATAGTTGCATAGCCACCAACGGTTGGCGGGACTTCTGGAAAAAAAAGAATTCCAACGATAGTTATGTTCGATTTTTAAGATCCCAATGACAATAAAGAGTAGGTGGCGGATAGGCCGTTGAGGAGTATAGTGGTATTGTTTGACGAGACTTCTAAAAATTATTAAAAATGAAAGCCAACAAGACAATAAACTCTAAAAACTATAAGGTCCAATATTTAAAGGTTCAAAACTTCTAAAAAGTAAAAAAAACACAATGATAATTATGTTCGATTTTAAAATATCAATGACAATAAAGAAGTGAGGCAGCGGTACTTATAGAAAGTAAAAAATAAACCCGGACGATAATTATGTTTGATTTTTAAAATCCCAATGATAATAAAGAGTGGCCATATAGGAGTATAATGACAGCGTTTGACGTGACTTCTAGAAATTATAAAAACGAAACCTAACGAGACATTACACTCTAAAAACTATAAGATCCAATTTTTAAAGGTTTCAAAGAGAATGAATAGAAATAGTGGTAGATCGAGTAAACAAATAAAGAAGGATATGACAGAAGTAAGGAGTAGCAGCTGGTGTGACTTTTAAAAACTATATAATTAGAAATACGAGAATGATAAGGTTTGTTCTTACGAGATAGCTATTTAATAAATTTTAAGTAAAATCATACTGAAAAATATATGATTTTGTTTATATGCGCGCGGGCCACCCAGCTAGTTCATAGTATATAAATCTTGATATCAAATTCTGATGATATCCATGAAACAAGTAAGCCTGCTCTACATATATTATATCAAGGGGCCGGGCAGATCTAGCCTTGGCACAAGGCCCGGGCCAACCCATTGTATTTTAGGATAACCTTGAATTTATATGGTAAAAAAATGTATTTTATAGTGGACTTTCTATCTAGGCCAGGTCCACCCATGAGACCATGATCATATCGTACAAATGTGACTCTTGGGTTATTTTTCCTCCTGTTTTATTTAAAAGCGTCACTCATTTCTTTTCATTTTTCTCAACTATATACAAATAAGTATCTCTACACAATAAATTGCCAGAGAAGAGAATATACAGTCTATATCATTAGAAAAATAATAAAAAAATTAAGATTGAACTTAAATTGTTCCCAACCAGTATATCTATGCCGCTATCCTTTGAACCGTGTGCGTCATGAACAGAGAAAAAAAAAAGGTAAATTAGTTTGTCCAATATTTGTGTATACCGCTAACTGCAGGTCGGCGGTTTCTGACCAGTGACCGGCCGTCGTCTCTCATCCGATCGACCAGGCGGCCAGGCCATAAATACGCCGCATTTCTCAACATTATTATATGGAGTATGGGTCTGTTTGGTTGCTTCCCAAACATTGCCACATTATAGTTTGATTTTTTGGTGTAAATGTTTGGTTGAAGCCAAAGATTTAGCATGCCACACTTTTCTACTCTCTGGCCCACATGTCATACACTCACTTGTTAACAAAAATTTGCCGTGGCTCTCTTTTTTTTTTTTTGCCAAAAAAACTATGGCATACCACATTTGTGATATAGAAGTTTGGTAAAGCGAGTAATCCATCCAAACAGCCTCTATATCTTCGTCGATCCGCGACACCCTTTGGAGGCAGACGACCGACTTGTTCTTGATGCCTATAGCTAATTAATTAACTTCTCTTGTTCTTCGACCTCATCCTGTCCCCTTCCGCGTATAGGTATATATACACGTACAGCTAGCTATACTTTATACTTTTATACTATACCTCCGTTTAATAGATATATGTCACAGTTAACTACTTCTATTAAAATAATATTTAACCGTACCAGTTGTCTTATTCAGAAAACTAGTGTAAATATGTTAACCTATACTTATAATTTACAATAAAATAAATAATATTTGTGATATTCTGAATAAAACGAATGATGAATAGTTAAATATTATATAAAAATCAATGGCATTATCTATTAAAAGTTGGAAGGTATTTACTGCACTCTCGTGCTACTTTGTAGTACTAGGACTGCTTGCTTCCAACTTTTTTTTAGACCACATTTCTTACTATCTCCTACTGTCTGCCTAACTATAGTTTCGCCGACGTGGAGTTCAAGAGTTGACCTTTTTATAAAACGGTAATAATAGTAAATGATTAGCTGAGTTTTTCTTCTTCTGCAGAAGACCATTTCTACCAATACATTCTTTGATGCACTGAATGTACGCATCGGCTATCTGCATCACGCATCATTTCTTATTCTCTCGACAAAGTCAGACTAAAGCTCAACAAGCACAGCACCTTATATATAGACAGAGTCCTAGCTTACAACACTAATCAGTAACCACTTCAGATAAAACCAACTGGAGTAGATAGATCCCCATCAATTAACGAGACAAACAAGCTTAATTAGCATTCCGTAGGCCCTAAAATGGATCATTTCGACTTGCTGGCATTGTCAGGCAACAACGAGACGCTGGCCAAGTTCGCGGCGTTTGTGGTGGTGCAAGCGCTGGTGTACCTCATCCTCTCCAGATCCTCCGCCGTCTTCTTCTCCGGCGCCGGCGCCGGCACCGCCAGCTTCCGGCGGCCGGCCGTGGAGAGGTCGGAGAGCGCCCGCCGCCGCATGGCCGCGCTGCTCGCCGCCGAGATGACACCACGACGGTCCGGTGACGCACCGCCTACTCCGGCCGGAATCCAGCGGCGGGGACGGCGGTCGAACGACGACGACGGCGGCGACGTTTGCGTGGACGTGGAGCTGGAGCTTATGCTGATTCGATGCTCGTTTTCGTCATGACTTTTGTGTGTGATGCTAAGCTGCAAATATTTCAGTAACATTGATTGCAAATATTTCAGTAATCACATTTTGTGCAACTGTTTTTAAATATCCCCGGCGGCGTTTCGTTGACTGATTTTATTTTAATTTAAGTTGCAAATTATGATACTAGTGCGTTTAAATACATGTGGGAGCAATTGTAACACCACTTCAGTTGAAGACACACATCTTATTTATCCTTAGTTTGACTACAATAATCCCTCTATCTCAAAATAAGGGATTTTGATTAGATGAGATATTTCCTAGTAGTCAACCAAAATCCCTTATAGTTTAGGAGGGATGGAGTATTACATTTTATGGAACGACTTAAAAGATAGACACAAAGCTGCATATTACAGTAGCACAAGAGAATGTTGCAGTTAACCTGTTCGTTTCCTCTAAAATTTGAGGGTAAACTTTTGAATTAAAACGGCACGCTTTTCAAACTGCTAAACGGTGCATTTCGTGTGAAAACTTTCTATATATAAGTTATTCTAAAATATCATATTAATCCATTTTTCAAGTTTGTAATAATTAAAACTTAATTAATCACACGTCATTACCACCTCGTTTTATGTGAAACACTTAATTTTCATCTTTATCTTCATCTTCAGGAGATTCAAACACCACCATATGATCTCAGTAGTTCATACCAATAATAGACAGTATCATCATAATCAAGATCATCTGCAGTAATGCACATGTAGGCCAAGGGTACGTGGAGCCTTACCAGGCCTAGCACATCTAAGTGAACAATACTGCACAATTGCACATCCGCGCCACCAGGCCTAGCATTTCTAAATCCCACATGTTAGTGTGACCGCAAATCGACCACACAAGAACAGAGTCCACCAGTCACACTACTAACTACAGTACAGTATTGGTTCAGGTATGACAGAATGACAGTTCAAGGTGAAATTAGAGAACCAAGGTTACGTAGATGAAATGAACTTTTTCGCAGCTGAAAAATGTCCCCAACTATGTGCAACCCAGGTAGAACTGGGAAAAAAAACACCAGGGTTATAAGTGTATTCGTGCATTAGTATTGTTTTCGTTATCAAATTATCATCACCGCTGACAATAAATTCACACGCTACAAGAAAATCATGGATATTAATGCACAGGGAAAACAGGAAAAAACATATTTTTGCCAGACACCAGCCAGCAAAACCTCAGACTGTTGCTCTGTTACAGTTGTCATACGTCCCCATCACTGCTTTCATCATCATCATACTGCACCAGAGAACCAAGCACGCCCTTGGTGGCATCTGGGGGCTTGTGATCTGCACTGTGCCCATTTGAAGGAAGCTCCTTCGCAGGAGGCTTATCTTCCCCATCTAACTTTGCTTTCTTCGCTTGTGGTTTCACCGAAATTATTACATTTTTCAGGAGTGCAGGTTGGCTCCTTTTTGCCTTAGGCTTGCTCTCCTAAAAAGTTTGAACGTTTGATAATTGATTAGGACTGCAACAACTGGCCCAGGAAGAAGTATGGATTGTAATATGTATATGACATATTTTTGTTATTCTCATCTTGAAACAATCAAATTAAAGTATTAGTCCTAGATCGCCTTTGTATTTATAACATACCTCTGGTCTCGAGACTGTAGGAGCCTCTTCATGTATAATATTAGACCGGGCCGCGACCGCCTCCTGAAAGAACAAGCATCGATTAGGCCTGTCGTGCAACTTGCATTTGGTAGATAATCTAAGGGAACCCATACTTCTTCACAATTCTAATTGGAACATACAAACATTGGACAGTGGTGAAAACAGCACGAACATACAGTTTGTTGGTAAAACACTCACTTGGAAACTGCGGAGTTGTTCAGCTTCTTCATTAGCCACCTGCTGCTCATATTCCTTCCTTGACTGCACAAAGGTGGCATAAAAGGAGGATTTAAGATGTTGCAAAAGCATGGGCTATAGATACATTCAATATACCTAAAAGCACATATGTTTGCACTCCATAATTTCTCATGTATTCAAATAACAAAGACTGTGAATTAACTTGGAGATTACAAATACAATCAAGCTATCGAAGCATTTGACTTCAGATCAACTTTGTACCATTTAAATTTGAGTATGATAATTGCCAACCCAATGGATAGTTGTTGTCATGAATCAAGAACAATCATCTTGAATAATAATTCAATCTAATATAAATCTCTACTACATGAAGGGGGAGTTCCATCCACCCGTCCGCTCACTCCTCCCATCCCGAGCAAAGTTTTGTTCCTTCTATTATGTGAAGAGAAAATCGTTCCGCAAAAAAAAAGGTGGACCAAAAAACTCGTTTCACCGCAAAAAAAAAAAAAAGGATATAAAAAACTGAATGGCACGTCCTTTACCCAGATTCCGTTGCAAAGCACAGGAAACTTACTAGTATATAGAAAACAGAGGCATATGTTTCTCTTATACAACTTTCAACCAAAGTACATTTTTTTTAGCAAGATAAATAATTAGGTTCCTGTTTCTTATAATGTTTGCTGATTTGCAAACATAATAGCATGCATATCAATTGTTGATATCTTGTGAATAAACTAGTATATAATCTAAGGCTATCACGTCATAAATAGACCACTCTCAAGTCTCAACCCACTCCACAAAGTTTCATTATGAATGGTTTGCAATGGAACACCAAGGACGCAAGGGATAGAAACTTCAAGACCAGTGCAGATATATGTGATGGGGATAAAGCAAATAGAAGCATGTTTTGCTAAATATGGTAGCTATGAAGACAGACAAGATTCGAAATTTAGCCTGGACAGGGAAATTCAATGTTAGTATGTATCAAAATGCTCACTGATGCAAGTTTGTCAAGAAACTCCATCTCATCTTCATCCAAGGCTTTTGGAGGTCCTGAATTGAATAAAAACAAGAATATCAGGACACAAGACAAAACATGGTCAAATGCAAACCCCAGTACCCTGCTTCTTTTGCTTACATATTCACTCACAAACCAAATGTCAAGGAATAAAATAGACAGCAATAGAAATGAAGGATACACTGTTCTTGTAAGCTAGAAAACCCAATACCTAGTGAGCACCCTCGTTTTTAGAGCTTATGTAAAACGATGGGTATTTTAACTAAAGTGTATAGGAAAAAGCAGAATATGTTCAGCATAACTAAATTGGAGACAGGGTGGACCTCTAGCTGGGAGGTTTAAGGATTGGCAAATTTTGCTACGGGACATCGCGACTTTATGGTTTTAGCTGTAGGACACCGCACAAACTCACTTTTGGGGGAAAACACTATCTAAACTTGGTTATTTGCCGGCGGACACCGTGGCCATTAAAATAGTGTATTCGTGCTGATGAGTCGATAGGGGGGCCAAAATTCTACACGAAGTGACCAAATTGCCCCTCCTTTCTTTTCCTCTTCCTCTCTTCTTCCTTATCTCTTCCTCTATCTCCCTCCATGGCGTCTCACAGGTGATGCGCCCACGGCTCAAGATGGCAGGCGCGGGGCGAGAGAGTCCCAACCGGTGGCGGCCGTGGTCGTCGGGCGAGACCTCCTGTTAGGTGTGCTGCGTCCAGACGCCACAGCTAAGCAGCCGCCAGTGGTGCCTGAGCACTCTACGGCGGTGGCACGCCAATGGGGAGCAGCAGCTGCTGCTGCTGCTAGTGCTTGTGTGTGGCTTGCTGCTGCACGATTTGGTGTTTTGAGTGTTGCAATTTGGCTCAATGGAAAAAGGAAGAAATTGGAGAGGAGAGATTTGACTCCGTGATGTTCATTGCTCGTGGATTAGCACAGAGAGGGGAGAGATTGATGGGAAGTGCTGTTGCTGCTAGTGGCTACTTATTGGATGGAGGACCGATTGCTGCTGCTGTTGTTGCTTGGATCGATTCACCAAGAAAAAAAAATGTAAAGGAGGGGAGAGTAGTCAGCTACAGGTGTTGGAAGGTTTATGGATGATGGCAATTGGTTCGCTTCTTCCGTGAGGAAGAACAAATCGATAGGAGGAGCTAGGTGGGTCCCGGTGATAGTGAGGTGAATGCAGAGGCCAATGCGGTGGGGCACAGGCGGCATCTGGAAGCCGAGCAGCCGCAGCCGTGACATTAGAAAGGGGAAATAAAGAGGAAGAGGAAGAATATGACAAGTGGGGCAAGGGGTATATTTGACCTTTCACGCTCTTTATCTCTCCTATTCAACCGGAAATTAATATTTTAAAGCGTGCGGTGTCCAGCAGCAAATAACCACGTTTAGAGAGTGTTTTCCCCCAAAAGTAAGTTCATGCAGTGTCCTACAACAAAAACAACGAAGTTGAGATGTCTTGTAGCAAAATTTGCCTTGATTTTATGTTCTCAGTTTCATGGACAAGAACAGGCTGCTTTTCATTATAGAAAAGGTAAAGAAAATAGTTTAAAACTTTAAATGCAGCAATGTGCTATAATTTGGGGGGATTGGTGCTCAGTTAGGCCCTGTCAGGACTCAGGAACATGGGATTTTTCCCAATTGCTATAGAAATTGAACTATTCACAATAAAAATTTAACATAGCTCTGCTTCCAGCTCTCATGAAAGAAATGTTGTTCTTCTACTCATTGAATTATCCAAACATTAGCCTCACTGTTTCCGTTTTGCAAATTTACGAACATAAGAGCGGGAGGGGAACTCACTGTGCTTGAACCGCTCGTTGAACTCGGCATCCTTCTTCTCCTTGTTCTCCTGCAGGATCTGCGCAGCGCGACAGAGGACGGCTTTGAGGAGGAGGAAGGAGAACAGGGCGGGGGGGGGGGGGGGGGGGGGTTACGCAGGGGCGGGGCGGGTGACCGACCTACCTGGAAGAGCGGCTTGTCGCGCTGGGCGGTGCCGTCGTCCGCCCGCTCCCCTCTCGTCCGCTTCGCCTCGTCAAGCTGCCAAGAAATTCCCCCACCACGAGAAACTCCAGATTTCAGCGGGTTTCTCTAGGGTTTCTGATGCCAGACTCGGCGAGTGGGCGCGCGGTGGCGGGGCTTACCTGGTCCTCGGAGATGAAGTTGACGAGGCGGATGGTCGTCGCTGCCGCCGGCGGCTTGGAGCCCGACGCCGTCTCCTCCCCGGCCATTACTCCGCCGCCGCGTCCACGAGCCGCCGCTGCCGCAAAACTCCTCGTTCGCTGCCTGAAGCTGCCTTTGGCGACTGATTCCCCCACAAACCAAATGAGAGACTCGTTGCGGTGACGTCTCTCCAGCGGTTTTCTCGACTTCTCGGCCGTTGGATCTCGTCATCTATGCATTCCTACAGTACCCAGGAACGTTTGGAGATCTCTACATTCTGAGAAACCATTTAAGAGCACGTTCAATATAGTTTTCCTACTTGACTCTTAAACTTAAAACTTCACCAACATAAAAAGAAAAAAAAAGCTTTAACAAACTCTTCATCCAAATAGAAAAATAAGCTGACTAAGGGTATGTTTGGGGAGCTTCTAGGTGCTACAGTTTCTCCCAGAATCAGAAGCTCCCCTGAACAGTCCATCTTTTGATCTAAATTTTGAGAAGCTGTAGTTATAGAATCTAAAATATGAACGAGAAGCCAGAAGCTAGGAAGCCTAGCTTTTCTAAATTTTTAGAAGCGGGCTACCAACCAGCTGCTTCTTAGAACCTTAAACTCCCCCAAACAAGCCCTAAATTGGCTCCCTGATTGCTAACGATGGGTCCACACCATTGGACACCCCTCTTCTCCCATCTCTATTTCCCCGCAATCACACAGAGAAGAGCACCGTCGCCATCAACATCCCGTCAAGGCGGCTGCCATTCTGTCGTGCCCGTCGTGCCGTCATCTAGAGGGATTGTCCGCTGCAACTATTGTTGTCTGGAGGCCTTTGCCTCCGCCCCTGTGCGGATTTGGCTACGCATTCCCAGTCACACAGAGAAGAGCACTTCTACCATCAACGTGAAACATGTCTAGTCTAAATTTTCTAAATATGGGAGTGCATAACATTCATTTGAATGTTCACTTACCCTACACTTCGGAGAATTAAAAGTTCCTCCTTATCTTCACTCTCTTCTCCTTGTTCATCTCTATATTGGAAAAAAAACAAGTCAGTATTATTCAAATCGACTAGAACCAATCGGATTATTTGCAATCAAGCAACACCTTCATCGTACCACACCAAGTAGAAGTCGAGTTCATGTGCCAATATTATTTCAATTAATGGGATCGTTCAGGTCCTAATTAGGTGGCTCAAAGTTTATGTCAAATCTATGTAGCCATGGATTAGAGAGATGATAAGAAGAGATGGTGATAACAAGTTCAACTAAGAGATGATTGGAAGAGATGGAGACATGGAGTATATGACCAAAAAGTTGTGCATCTTGCTCAAATTTTAAAAGAGGTGGATGCACCGAGCAAGATGACCAACTATTACTTGCAGATCAATTTATCGAGATTGATCAAAAGCAAGATGATGCGGATGGCACGTCACGATTGTGGTATTTATAAGGCGAGGAAAACATGGTAGCAGTGTGATGCGATGGAATGACACTAGATGATATGCGCATATGCCGTGAAGCCGTGGGCAAACAAAGTGACCATGCAATGCGTGAGTAAACGAAGTGATAACACGGATCGTTCGATGCAACATAAATGTACTTTCACTACACAAAACTTATATCTCAATCATACTGGAATAGAAAGTGTAGAATTCATTATATAATTTTAAACGGTGGGATTATATAAACATTGTGCAAGTATATAACACAAAATAAGATCAACGTTGACCCGGGTTGACCCACGGTTCTTCAACAAATGTACGAACCCAATCCTAGTCACCACGATCCACTCCAAAGCGAGCACACGCCTCAACCAATCGGAGCCCGAGATGAAGCCGCGATGACATCGACGAGAAAAAAAAAAGGGAAAAAAGAAAAAACTAAAAAGAAATTCCGTGCTCACTGAGCTGTAATTTTCCCTCACCCCGCCGCGACGCCGCCCCCATCATCGACTAGCTGCGAATCTGGGGGCGATCTCCTTCTCCTCCTCTTCCTTCTCCAGATCCCCAAATCCGCGCGCGCCCTCGCATTCCGGGGAATTCCCAATTTAGGTTAGATCTGCGCACCGCGCCGCGCTCGGCGGCCGCCTCCGCCTGCGCCACCCAATAAGGCCGGCATGGAGGAGACGTCGACGCCGCCGCAGCCGCAGCCGCAGCCGGCGCACCCGTCTCCCCAGTTCCCGGCGGTCTTCACCCCGCCGCCGCCGCCGACGAGCGGATTCTCGTCGCGGGGCAGCCCCAGCCCGGGCACGGGCTCCGCCGCGGCGCAGGCGCAGTTCAGCACGCCGCCGGGCCCGCCGGTCTTCTCCTCCCCGCTGCGCCCCGCCGCGGTGCCCTTCCGCGCCACCCCGGCGTCGCCGCAGCCCGTGCCCTTCGCGTCCCGCGGCGGGGGCTACTCCTCCTCGTCCTCCTCCGCCGCCGTCTCGCTCCCGACCTCCTCCGGCCCGCACTTCCTCAACGGCGTCGCCACGCCCACCTCCCACCTCCCGTCCTCCGCCGCCGCCCCGCCGCCTCCTCCGCCTCCGCCCCCCGAGGAGTCCCCCTACGTCCTCTTCTCCGCACACAAGGTACGCGTCGCTCAACGCCTTGCTCTGCACTAACGCCTGTCCATCTCGTAGAGCTCAACCCGCACATAACCACGCTATATCATTTTGGTTCTCACACAATTACACTAGCATATCCAAATTACGTGGGATTTTAAGTCGCATATAGTGTTCATTGCGTAGGGATGTGCAGTTTCTGCTGCTTGTTTCTTAGAGAAAATATGTTCCTTCTGTAATTGGCAATTTCTACTTTGTAGGTGCTGAAGCAGAAGAAACTGCTGAATGCTCCTAGCTTAGGGTTCGGAGCTCTAGTGTCTCCTGGGAGGGAAGTGGCGCCAGGGCCAGAGACTGTGGAGCGTGATCCTCGGCGATGTCTGAACTGTGGGGCTTATGTTAATCTTTACTGTGACGTGTTGATTGGCTCTGGGCAATGGCAGTGCGTGATTTGCAAGAAGATGAATGGCAGCGAAGGGGAATTCGTTGTCTCCAGCAAGCATGATCTGCTCCAGTGGCCTGAGCTTGCGTCATCGGCCATCGATTATGTGCAATCAGGGAATAGGAGGCCAAGCTTTGTCCCGGTGCCTGACACAAGGGTGTCTGGACCCATTTTTATCCTCATAGATGAGTGCCTTGATGAGGCACATCTACAGCATCTGCAAGGTTCATTGCATGCTTTTGTGGATACACTCCCTCCTACAGCTAGAATTGGGATCATTTCCTATGGGCGCACTGTCTCAGTGTATGATTTTTCAGAGGGGGCAGCGGTGTCAGCGGATGTGCTACCTGGAAACAAGTCGCCTACCCATGAGTCTTTGAAGGCTATAATCTATGGAACAGGTATATACCTGTCTCCTGTACATGCTTCACTGCCTGTTGCACACACAATATTCTCATCTTTGAGACCCTACCAATTGAGTTTACCGGAAGTGTCAAGGGACCGATGCATTGGTGCAGCGGTAGAGGTTGCCCTTGGTATTATCCAAGGGCCAGCAGCGGAGGTGTCCCGTGGAATAATCAAGAGATCTGGAGGCAACTACAGGATCTTGGTTTGTGCGGGTGGCCCTAGCACATTTGGTCCAGGATCAGTGCCTCATTCTGTTCAACACCCAAATTATGCCTACCTCGAGAAGACAGCTATGAAGTGGATGGAGCGTCTTGGTCATGAAGCGCAGAGGCACAGTACTGTTGTTGATATCCTTTGTGCTGGAACATGTCCTGTGAGGGTTCCTGTATTGCAGCCACTAGCAAAGTGTTCTGGAGGTGTTCTTTTACTTCATGATGATTTTGGAGAGGCCTTTGGGGTCAACCTGCAAAGAGCGTCAACTAGAGCAGCTGGTTCCCATGGCTTATTTGAGATTAGATGTTCTGATGACATGCTTGTTACTCAAGTCATTGGCCCTGGTGAAGAAGCATCTCCTGATTCCCATGAAACATTCAAGCACGATACCTCATTTTGTATCCAGATGCATAGTGTCGAGGAAACACAGAGTTTTTCCGTGTCTATGGAGTCAAAGGGTGATATCAAGAATGATTTTGTTTACTTCCAGTTTGCTGTCCATTACTCTAATATGTATCAAACAGAAATAACCAGAGTAATCACTATGAGGCTGCAAACTGTTGATGGTTTATCTGCATATCTGGCAAGTGTGCAGGATGATGTTGCTTCGGTCATCATTGGCAAGAGAACTGTCTTGCGTGCCAGAACTGCCTCAGATGCTATTGACATGAGGCTCACAATCGATGAAAGAGTTAAGGACTTAGCTCTCAAATTTGGTACTCAAGTTCCAAAATCAAAGCTTTACCGGTTTCCAAAAGAGCTGGCATCACTACCTGGGTGTTTGTTTCATTTGAGAAGGGGACCACTCTTAGGTAGCATAGTAGGACATGAAGATGAGCGATCTGTCCTTAGGAATTTGTTCTTGAATGCCTCATTTGACCTCTCGTTCCGTATGTTAGCACCTCGTTGTATAATGCACCGCGAAGGTGGTACCTTTGAGGAGCTGCCAGCATATGATCTTGCCATGCAATCTAATGCTGCGGTGGTATTGGACCATGGAACTGATATTTTCATATGGTTGGTAAGTTACATCATATCCTTCTCCTTGACCTTACCTCGTTTTGTAATAAGTTATTTAGTTATTCCAACACTTCTATGCCTCTGTTTTATACAGCTCCAATTTTTTTTTGGGGCGTTTATCTCCAGCTCCAAAAATTCTTGGAGTTGTAGCTGAGAGTAGACTTGACATCTTGTTCACATTTAGACAATTATTAGGGGAGTAAGCCACTTTATTTTAGTCACTAACAGGGCCTGGATGGCCATCTTTCTTGATAATAGGATTTTTTTTTCACTAGTGTTGAATGATACTTTTTGCATAGTTTACAATATAGCTATGAACATGGATTTGCTCTTCACTGCTATACTTGAACTTTCAAGATGACCTAAGCAAGTAAATGTCCGTGTTACTGCATATTAATGTAATTTGTGGTTTTGTAGAAGAAAATATACCTGTTGCTTGTGCATTCTCTGCTTTTCTAATGCAGACAAAACTCATTTGCTCCTAGTATTATATAATGCTCTACGTGGTTATGAAAGCATGCGTTTTATATATGGTCTCCAAAACGCAACTTTGACTACTAATTTATCTTGTTATATATTTATGATACCCTGAAGCCTGGCGAATCTATACATATGATTTCACGTATTGAATACAAATATTGATCCTCAAATGTTCAAACTTTGGCTAGAGATATGCGCAAAACGACATGTTTTCGTGACTGGTGGGAGTAAATACTAAATACTTTGCAATAGATAATATATAAAATATAATAATAGGAAAGGTGAATGCATTATAATCATTGAATTACCATCACTGGTATGTACAAATACAGCAGAAAACAACTTTTGGCTAGAAATATGATATGAGTAAATGATGTTGATATACTATGGCAAATTGACATTTTAACTTGTGGAAGATATTGTTTTCTTTTTTTTGCTTTCTGGATGTTGCTTTTATACACATCACATAATTTGCTGGGATATTCTTTTTTCATTTCTATAAGAATAATTCTCAATGTACTTTGTTGTATATTTTCAGGGTGCTGAACTAGCAGCCCAAGAAGGACAAAGTGCTGCAGCTTTAGCAGCATGCCGTACACTGGCTGAAGAACTCAGCGAGCTCCGTTTTCCGGCTCCCAGGATACTTTCATTCAAAGTCAGTTTTTTGTTCTCACTGAACTATTGTTCTGGTTTCTAACCGCCTTCCCTTGTAGTATGAACTCTTCTGCTCAACATTTTTTTCCTGTCTAATATAGGCCATGTCCGTTCGTAGAAAAACAGGTCACTAACATTATCGCATTTATGAAGCCCAATTTATACATATAATTTGCTTTGTAGTCTATAATATATCTTTCCATAAGATTATTGTGGCATAAGAACTTTGCATCCCTCATACAGAGTGTTCAGTTCTTTCAAACAATTTAGTCTGTCACATGACATCCAATTTCATTAACTACATTACTAGCATGTAGTACCATTTAAGCGGCACTATATGCTTTGCTTTTCTAATTGACCGCACTTTCTTGATTTTGTTATAGGAAGGGAGCTCTCAGGCTAGATATTTTGTCTCACGCCTTATCCCAGCTCACAAGGACCCTACTTATGAGCAGGTAATATTTTCTCCGAACCTCAGCAGATATGTTTTGTTTCACCAAAAGTCATCGTTGTTGGGTGATAATCAGTGTTACTACAGCTACTAATGTGGCCCCTTATAAAGTAAACTGCAGCGAGCTCTCTATACAGCTGTGATTTGTTAATAGATGCTCTTCTTAATATGTTTCAGGAGTCAAGATTTCCTCAGTTACGGACACTTACTCCTGAACAAAGGTCTAGGTTGAAGAGCAGCTTCATCCACTTTGATGACCATAGTTTCTGCGAGTGGATGCGCAGCCTCAAATTGGTTCCACCTGAACCAAGCTAATACCAACAATCGGATCCCTAAAGGTGGATAGCTGAAGAACCCAAGGCTTGGTTTCTGATAGAGTTGCGAAACGATAGCTGAAAGTTTTGTGAAGTAACATTGTGCATTGCGGGACACATGCCAATGCCAAACACATTTTGTTTGGAGTGGTGGGAGTTGTATGATTTTGCCCGATTCTTTCTTCTGACGCCATAGCATACAGTTTAAATTGTCACTTGTCTTGCAGGCGCCAAATTTACACAATAAAATGGTCTCCTCCTGTTGGATAGTTCATTAATTGGATGTTTATATGATATATCTGGCCTAACTATTTTTTGGATTCCATTTGTTTGTTCAGGGCAGTGTCAGACTTTGTTCACCCTAATTAAATCGAGGACTGAAGATTACAACCATATCCAAAGTGTTTATCTCCCCATTATTTACACTGCAAAAAGTTTGTTTGACTGCAAATAAGAACATCTATGCAAATCTGTAGTCACAGCAAGCAATTTGAAAAGAAAATAACACCTTTGATTTTGCTGTTCAGAAAGTTGGAAAGTGTTGTTTTGTGGAGTGGTACGCCTGGATGGCAATGAATATTATGCAGGCAAAGTGTCGGCGCACAAATAGCCAAATAGGTACAGATTTATTTGAATTTTTTTTATTTTTAATTTTTTTTATTAAAAGTTTTACAAAAATAATTTTCTATTTTGAAAATTGACGGAAGTAGTCGCCTACCGCCCTCTGGGAAGGCGATTTTTAAAAATCGCCCTCCCAGAGGGCAGCGAAAATGACGTGGCAGACGGCCGTTCGCTCTCGGGCGACGGCCGTCAACGAAATTTGCAGGCGGCCCCCTTGCCGCCCTCCGCGAGGGCGATTTTGTACTGTGCGGGGGGCCGCCTGCAAATGGGCGGCGAGGGGGGGCATGGAATTTTGCAGGCGGCCCCCTTGCCGCCCTCGGCGAGGGCGATTTTGTACTGTGCGGGGGGCCGCCTGCAAATGGGCGGCGAGGGGGCATGGAATTTTGCAGGCGGCCCCCTTGCCGCCCTCCGCAAGGGCGATTTTGTACTGTGCTCTATATTTTTGTATAAATATCAATAGTTATCAAATCTTTTTATATTGAAAACTATACAAGATTAAAATCTCCAAGACTGGTAAGATACAATTTTATTATTTTTTAGGGCATATTTGGATTGTTACCGTACAAATATTTTGTTACCGTACAAATATTTTATTAATTTTTAGGGCATATTTGGATTGTTAGTGCCAAATTTTTCTTCACGACCAAATATTTGGTAAGGTAAAATTGCATTTGATCATATTTGGTTTGCTGCCAAAATGTAAAATTGTAGTGAAGAATGTTCTACATAATCTCAAATCTAGATTACGTATTACCAATGAATAGGCTTCCATTTTCGTGTGTTGTGTGCTAGTGGGAAAGAAGATATGAAGAGGTTGCCTTCAGATTGTCAATTATATAGCGTCGTTTTCACTGCAATATATGTGAACTCAATGAGATACATTATTCATTAGATGTGATAAGACGATCACGCGTGGGCGTGATTCACTTTATGTAAACAGGCAGCGCCGAAAGTTGATAGTGATAACTCGAGCTGCCGCTTTTCATGTGTGCTGTTGTGGACTGTGCGCGCTACTGGATCTGACACTACCGTGCAGCGCCGAAAGTGTGTTGTCGTGAGCATAAGTTGTTCTAGCACCATATGAATGAAAAGAACTATGTAGACGAGACAAACACAAGTAGTACTGCAGTAGTAATAGCAAAAGTAGTACTGCTTTACAAGTTTGTAAGCCAAAAGAAACGGTCACATAAGGACTGAAGAGGTAGAACACTACTGACGAGGCCTCTTACCCCTGTCCCTCCTACCCTGCGCCCTAATGTGCCCGTGGGAGTACGTGAGTCGGTCCGGGGGTACGGCACGGCCAACCCGTCCTGCCTGTATAGGTGTGACCTCTGGCTGCTCCTGAGTGTGTGCCTCTGGAGCTCCTCCAAGCTGAGAGGAGCCTAGTACGTCGTGGTGGTCTGCACCGTGCAAGTCGTCGTCGTAGAACTGGCTAGTAGGACCAGTCCTACCGGCGTGAGACGAAGAGGCCCCAGTACCGAAGATCCCGGCTGCAAATCCTGCTGGACAAGGACCATCAGTTTCGTACAGGTATTTAACAGTATTAATAAAAAGTAAAGTACCGTGTGGGCGAGGGATCGACGCTCCGTGAGAGGAAGAGCTGGCGAACGCGCCCGAAGAGGTGGCGAACGCCCCTGCGGAGCTCGTGGAAGCGCCGGTCGTGCCTGCGAACGCGCTCGAAGGCAGACGAGGTCCTGCGATGAGGAAACGTGCAGTTAAAACATGGTGACATAATCGTGCAAAAGCTGAAACAAAAATGAACTAATATCTGGGCTGAACTGTACCGTGCGAAACCGGTGCTGTAGGTCGCACTGATCCGAAGCTAGGGGCGCTCGAAGGCAAACGAGGTCCTGCGAGGATGGATCATCAAGTTACGACGGGGTGATGTTTTCGTACAAAAACAGAAACAAAACTTAAGAAACCTCTGGGCTGAGCAGTACCGTGCGAAATAGGTGCCGTAGGTCGAGGTCCTGCTCCGACGGTAGGCGCGCGAGGCCGTGGTTGTACCGGACCAGCTGGAGGTACGACGTCCACGGCGCTGCGACAGGAGAAGACGCGCATGACCGCACGCATCTTCTCCTGCATCCGGTCGAAGGTCACCCTCTGCTCAACGTCAGTCAAGTGCAAACCTCTGTTCAACCTCACTTGGACTGCGGTGATATCGGCACAGATATCCCGTGCGACATCAGCCTATGCAAGATGGAAATAACAAATTCAGTAGTTGTCCTATATTATGCAAGATAAATGAAATAATTGTAAGAAGTAATACAAATTGGATGTACCGCCACGAAGTAGTCTCGGTCACGGTGCGTGGGATACGCGTCCGTGACAGCGGCAACGTGCGGCTCTGGGGCGTCTGGAGTGAAGGTCACACGCGCACGAGTGCGAGGAAGGTACCAACGAAGGTAGTCACGGTAGTTCTCCTCCGTGTGTGGGAAGAGCTCGTTGATCACCTCCTCTGTAGCTAACACCCAGTCGTCAACGTACTGCTGTACACGTGGAGCCCAAAGTGCGCCTGCTAGCTGTCCCCGTCGAGTCAACCTGTGAAGAGAGGTAAATTATATGGCTCGATGAAGTAATTATCATAAAAATTTAGAAATGAACAATCCGAACTCACGAGTGGTCGGCAGGGAGGACGGTCGGCTGCACGTTGCCCGGAAACACCTGCCTAAGTCCGAACTGTCTCATCACACGCTGCGGGCAGTGAGGCTCAACGAAAATGTCGAACACCATCGGCAGGATGGTGAGCCAGTAAGCCTGGTCGCGTGTGCACAAGGACGAAAGTCCTAGCGGTGCTCTCGCAGCGACGGCCTCTTCTGTGTACGGCTCCCAGATGACGTCGCTCGGCTGGAGACGGTCAAACTCGAACACGAAGTCCGGGTAACCACGTCTCACCTGGACGTGAGCGTAACGACGCTGCAATAAACATGATCGGAATTAGACATGTTATGTGAAGAAAAAAAAAAGACGACTGATAAACTTATAACGCAGCGAAGTTGCACTAACCCCACGTCGACACCAGTAAGTCCCCATCGTGGGACCGTCCTCTGGCCACTGCGCGCTGCGACCAACCCCGTAGGGTGCGCTGTCCACCACTGGTCGACCTATGGCAAACCTCTCGGCTGCCCAAAGCTGAAGCAACATAGGGCAGCCAGCGATGATCGCTCCCGCGTCAGTCTTCGTGCACGCCTCACAGAGGGCACGGTACGTGGCTGCTAGCACGGCAGAACCCCAGCTCCACTGCGGCACGTCCTGTGGCTGAGCATCCGCGATGGACCGTGCGTAGTGGACCAGCCGGAAGTCCACAGCGTGCCCGTGGGTGCTAGTGAACATCACCCACCCGAACAACCACAACAGGTACGCCTCAAGGGAGCGTCGGACCGAGTAATCATCAGCGTCAGGGTGTAGAAGGTCCGCCTACAATTAAGAATGAAATGTTAGTACAAAACACTCATTCGGTCGCAAATAAGCACGTATGATAATAACAACTTATTTACTTACAGTGAACTGGAGCAACCAAGCCTTGCTAGGCCCGACTGTAGAGTACGAAGGAAGGGTGGTGGTCGGTCCTAGGTGTGGAAGGCGCATCACCTGCTCGAAGCGCGCAGTGATATCCTCCTTCCACCCAAAAACACCGTCCACGGGACCAACTGCTGCTCCCGCCAGCGGTAGCCCGAGCAGGTACGACACGTCCTGCAGTGTCGGAGCCATCTCCCCACAGGGAAGGTGGAACGTGTGCGTCTCAGGTCTCCAGCGGTCTACAAGAGCGGCAAGGAGTGACCGATCTGCATCCCACCGCTTCGCTGGGTCACGGTCGTCCGCCGCCGCCTCAACAAGCCTACAAAGTGGTAGAAGGCCTGCCGCACGCAACCTGTATAGAGCAAACTTCAAACATAAGTACAACACAAAGCAAAGTTGAGTTGAAATGTGAACATACGCGTACCAAGGAACGTGACGGGGGTCGACACGCAACCACTCGCGCGACGTGCGTGGACGGAAGGTGCCGAGCTGTGCACCCTCGACTGCTGACAGGAACGAGCGGTGGTTCCTGTCAATCCCACGGTTCAACAGCGCCGGTGTGTCGTACGCCATACCTGCATCAAATAGGTTGATCAGAAACATATAAATAATTAGTTCAACATAAGTAATAAATGTTGAACTAAGCGAATTACTAACACATATTAAACAAGAGTACAAACAAACAAAAGTGTTTAGTCCGAACACTCATCACGATAACATTATGATACAACACCGAATAATTCGCAATACTACTAGTACAACAATAGTCGGAGGTACTCATTACAACAACATTGAATTGAAATTACACGATAGAAGTATTTAGTCCGAACACTCATTACATCACAACAGCATTTTATTTCCTAAATCGAAAGCATTGTTACACCATGGAATCGCCTGCTGCGCGACGACGCCTTGGCCTTGCGCGCCTGCTTGTTGTTCCTTCACCAGGTGGTCGCCTACCATCACTTGCCTGTCCAGATGGACTAGCATCTGCGCCGCTTGGAACTTCTGCATTCTTCGGGCATTTCTTGTAAGTATGGCCGCGCAGATCACACTTGCTGCAGCGTAAAGTCCTCCCACCTGCTTCTGACTCATCCATATCATTTCTGATGCGTCTAGTTTGGCGTCGACCCTTTTTCACCCTTAACTTAGATGGATCTGGAATATAAAAAACTTGGGCACTCA